ACATTTTCTTTATCCACTCGTTAATGGATGGGCATTTGGGCTGGTTCCATATTTTTGCAAATTGTGCTGCTATAAACATGTGTATGCAAGTGTCTTTTTCATATAATGACTTATTTTCCTCTGGGTAGATACCCAGGAGTGGGATTGTTGGATCAAATGGTAGACCTACTATTAGTTCTTTAAGAATCACCATACTGTTTTCCACAGTGGTTGTACTAGTTTACATTCCCCCCAGCAGTGTAATAGTGTTCCCTTTCCACTCCATCCACACCAACATCTATTTTTTTTTTTTATTTTTTGATTATTGCCATTTTTGCAGGAGTAAGGTGGTATCACCTTGTGGTTTTGATTTATATTTCCCTGATAATTAGTGATGTTGAGCATTTTTTCATATGTTTGTTGGTCATTCATATATCTTTTTTTGAGAATTGTTTATTCATGTCCTTAGCCCACTTTTTGATGGGATTTGTTTTTTTCTTGCTGATTTGTTTGACCTCCTTGTAGATTCTGGACATTAGTCCTTTGTCAGATGCATAGTTTGCTAAAATTTTCTCCCAGTCTGTGGGTTGGTTGTCTTTTTACTCTGCTGATTATTTCTTTTGCTGTGCAACAGCCTTTAGTTTAATTAAGTCCCACCTATTTATCTTTGTTGTTGTTGCATTTGCTTTTGGGTATTTGGTAAAGTCTTTGCCTAAGTCAATGTCTAGAAGGGTTTTTCTGATGTTATCTTCTAGAATTTTTAGCTTTCAGATCTTGGATTTAACTCTTTGATCCATCTTGAGTTGATTTTTATGTAAGGTGGAAGATGAGGATCCAGTTTTATTCTTCTTCATGTGACTTGCCAATTATCCCAGCACCATTTGTTGAATAGAGTGTTCTTTCCTCACTTTATGTTTTTGTTTGCTTTCTCAAAGATGAGTTGGCTATAAGTATTTGGGTTTATTTCTGGGTTCTCTATTCTGTTCCATTGGTCTTTGTGCCTAGTTTTATACCAGTACCATGTTGTTTCGTGACTATGGCCTTGTAGTACAGTTTGAAATCAGGTAATATGATGCCTCCAGATTTATTCTTTTTGCTTAGTCTTGCTTTGGTTATGTATGCTCCTTTTTGGTTTCACATGAATTTTAAGATAGTTTTCTCTAGTTCTGTGAAGAATTATGATGGTATTTTGATTGGAATTGCATTGAATTTGTAGATGACTTTTGGCAATATGGTCACTTTCACAATATTGATTCTACACATCCACTATGTGTTTTCATTGTTTGTGTCATCTATTATTTCTTTCAACAGGGTTTTGTAGTTTTTCTTGTAGAGGGCTGTCACCTCCTTGGTAGGGTATATTCCTAAGTATTTTATTTTTTATTTTTTACAGCAATTGTAAAAGGGGTTAAGTCCTTGATTTGATTCTCAGCATGGTCACTATTGGTGTAAAGCATTGCTACTGATTTGTGTACATGAATTTTGTATCCTGAAACTTTACTGAATTCATTTATCAGTTGTAGGAGCTTTTGGGATGAGTTTTTAGGGTTTTCTAGGTATACAATCTTATCCTTCGGCAAACAGCGATAGTTTGGCTTCCTCATTACTGATTTGGATGTCCTTTATTTCTTACTTTTGTCTGATTGCTCTGCCTAGGATTTCGAGTATTATGTTGAATAGAAGTGGTGAAAGTGGGCATCCTTTCCAGTTTTCCAGTTCTCAGAGGGAATGCTTTCAACTTTTCCCCATCTAGTATAATACTTACTGTGGGTTTTTCATAGATGGCTTTTATTACCTTGAAGTATGTACCTTCTGTGCCAATTTTGCTGAGGGTTTGAATCATAAAGGGATCTGGATTCTGTCAAATGTCTTTTCTGTGTCTATTGAGATGATCATGTCATTTTTGTTTTTAATTCTGTTTATATGATGTATCACATTTATTGACTTGCATATGTTAAAACATCCCTGTATCCCTGGTATTAAACCCACTTGATCATGATGGACTATCTTTTTGATATGTTGTTAGATTCATTTAGCTAATATTTTATTGAGGATTTTTGCATCTATATTCATATTCATCAGGGATATTGGCCTGTGGTTTTATTTTTGTTATGTGCTTTCCTGGTTTTGGTATTACAGTGATACTAAATTCATAGAATGATTTAAGGAGTATTTCCTCTTTCTCTATCTTTTGGAATAGTGTCAATAGGATTGGTACCAATTCTCTTTTAAATGTCTGATAGAATTCAGCTGTGAATTCGTCTGATCCTGGATTTTTTTTTTTTTTTTTGGCATTTTTTAGTTACCATTTCCATCTGACTGCTTTTTATTGGTCTGTTCAGAGTTTCTATTTCTTGCTAGTTTAATCTAGGAGGATTGTATATTTCCAGGAATTTATCCATTTCCTCTAGGCTTTCTAGTTTGTGTGCGTAAAGGTGTTCATAGTAGCCTTGAATGGTCTTTTGTATTTCTGCAGTATTGGTTGTAATGTCTCTCATTTCATTTCTAATTCAGCTTATTTGGATCTTCTCTCTTCTTTTCTTGGCTAATCTCACTAATGGTCTATCAATTTTGTTTATCTTTTCAAAGAAGCAGCTTTTTGTTTCATTTATCTTTTGTATTGTTTTTGCTTCAATTTCATTTAGTTCTGCTCAGATCTTTGTTGTTTCTTTTCTTTTCTGGGTTTGGGATTGGTTTGTTCTTGTTTCTCTAGTTCCTTGAGTTGTGATGTTAGATTGTTTATTTGTGCTCTTTCAGACCTTTTGATGTAGGCATTTAATGCTATGAACTTACCTCTTACACCATGTTTGCTGTATCCCAGAGGTTTTGATAGGTTGTATCACTATTATTGTTCAAAGAATTTTCTAATTTCTATCTGGATTTCATTGTTGACCAGTGATCATTCAGGAGCAGGTTATTTAATTTCCATGTATTTGCATAGTTTTGTGGATTCCTTTTAAAGTTGATTTTCACTGTGGTCTGAGAAGTATTTGATATAATTTTGGTTTTCTAAAATGTATTGAGACTTGTTTTATGGCCTATTATATAGTCTATCTTGGAGAATGTTCCATGTGCTGATGAAAATAACGTATATTCTGCAGTTGTTGGGTAGAATGTTCTGTAAATATCTGTTAAGTCCATTTGTTGTAGGGTATAGTGTAAGTCCAATGCTTCTTTGTTGACTTTCGTGTTGATGACCTATCTAGTCCTGTCAGTGGAATAGACCCCAGTGTCTATTTTTCCCATCTTTCTATCTATAGGTACCCCATGTTTAGCTTCCACTTATAAGTGAGAACATGTTGTATTTGATGTTCTGTTCCTGCATTAATTTGGTTAGGATAACGGCCTCCAACTGCATCCACATTGCTGCCATGAACATGGTTTCATTCTTTTTTCTGGCTGTCTAGTATTCCATGGTGTATACGTGCCACATTTTGTTTATCGAATCCACCATTGATAGGTACCTTGGTTGATTCCATGTCTCTGCTATTGTGAATAGTGCTGCGATGAACATACAAATACATGTGTTTTAATGGTAGAATGTTTTATTTTCCTTTGAGTATATACCCAGTAATGGGATTGCTGGGTCAAATGGTAGTTCTATTTTAAGTTCGTGAGAAATCTTCAAACTTCTTTCCACAGTGCCTGAACTAATTTATTTTTCCACCAACAGTATATGTGCATTCCCTTTTCTTTGTAGCTTTATCGACATCTGTCATTTTTTGGCCTTTCAATAATGGTGATTCTGACTGGTGTGAGATAGTATACCATCAGGATTTTGATTTGCAGTTCTCTGATCATTAGTGACGCTGAGCATTTTTAAAAGTGTTTATTGTCTGCTTGTATGTCTTCTTTTGAGAACTGTCTGTTCATGTTCTTTGCCCACCTTTTAAAGGGGGTATTAGATTTTGCTCGTTGCATTACGTTTCTTATAGATTCTAGTTATTAGACCTTTGTTGGATTCATAGTTTGTGAATATTTTCTCCCATTCTGTAGGTTGTCTGTTCACTCTGTTGATGATAGTTTCTTTTGCTGTGTAGAAACACTTTAGTTTAATTAAGTCCCATATGTCAACTTTTCTTTTTGTTGCAATTGCTCTTTTTAAAATAATTTCAACTTTTTTTTTAGGTTGAGGGAGTACATATGCTGGTTTGTTACATGAAACTACCCATGTCTTGACATCATCACTCACACAGGGATTACTTTAATCACTTCCTAGCAAGCCTCTTGATCCTCCAATTCATGCTATGCTTACTGCCAATATACATTTCCCTAAACATTGCTTATGTTAGTCTCTGCTCGAAAACAATCCAGATCTCCCTGCTTAAAATTCTGTGCAATGTAAATTTATTTGCTTAATTTTTAAGACATGTCAGAATGCCTATCCGTGTTTCCCACAAACTCTTTTGCCTAATAAGGTCAGTGTCTTCATGGCTATTTAAAAATCTGTTGCTTCTGAACATTTTCAAGTATTTTCCTGTCACCTAAGCAGCAGTTTTCATCTCTGCTTCCTTTTAAGTTTCAGTCTATCCTTGAAGGCTAAGACCTACTCTCTCCATATTAACTTCCCAATCTGCATTTTTTTTTCTTCTCCCCTCTATGGTCCTGTAGCACTCATGGCATGTTCCACATAGATCAACACATGTCCACAAAAGTATTCAAAAGCTCATTCATTTTATCTTGGTTTTTCCAGCATTACCTCCTAGGAGGCAGGAACTGCATTTCACACAGGCTCCACGGCACTCGCACAGTAATGAACATATAATGGGAATTTATTAGATAGACACTCAGAAGGTTTATGAACCCCCTTTTTGCCTATTTATATTTTCTAAAAAATAAATACATAATTAATATAAAATATTTACCTTTCATTTATTTCAGTAAAATATTACATACATGTATAGTATGAAATAGATTTATAACTTCTATTTAAGAAAGGTTTCCAGGACTCTCAAAACAAACTAATAAGCACTTAGAATGATACTTTTATTTCTTCTCACTTTCTTTTCTTTTCTATACAGAGAACCTTGGCAATATCCTGAATTTAGTACTAAAAGCAAAAGATAAGGAAGATGTTATGTGGCCTCTGTATAACAGAGACTGTTCTATACTGAAAACTTATGATATGCTTTCCACCTTAGACAAAGCCAGACAGGTAAGATTTTCTTTATCATAGTGTTTAGCACAAGCTGGGGAATATAACTGCTCAATAAATTCTTGTTAAGTGATTGAATTTTTGATAATTCACTCAATAGAACCTTCCATTTCTGAAATATGCACATAATATCTTCAGGAATTAGACCTGAGTAGCATTTCCCAAGGCAATCCCTCATTCTAACTTTGAGAAGGAATGTGATTAATTTGAAGCTGCTATTCTAATTTTTCATTTTTAGATTTTTACTATTATCTTCTTTTAGGTTTTTACTATTATCTTGAGAAATAGCAGGCCAAGATCCTTACTTCCATACTACCAGCCATTTCTCTTGGGTAGCAAAACACTTTAGAGCTGTAGAAACAGTATTAGAAACCATGTATTCCAACCCATTCACTCTTCAGATGAGGAAAACATCTCTCAGGTTAGATGGGGCGGGCCAAGACAGAAATCAAACTCTTTTAAACAAGTAACTGCCTTACCTACATTTAAATAATGAAGGATGGCAAAATACCATGAAATCTCGGGGCTGAATAGAACTTACAGATGGTTCATTATTCTTTGTTTTAGCACTTCCAGTAATTGGCAAACAACTCTTTCTACAATGGAATGCCTCGAAAAATTAGAAATGTTCTCAAAAGAGTATTTCTCAGTGACTTATGTTGAATCAAAATTTGTCTTCCCAGAACTTTGCAGCAACAGCCCTAGTTTTGAATTCTCAAACAGTAGCAACAATCCGCTCCCTCTTCCATGGGACTGAACTAAACAATTTATACAACCCTTAAGATTTTGTCCTCCCAAGTTCCTCTGAACTTCCTTTTTATGGCATGACTTCCCTCTGTTTTGACAATAATCTTATTAGAATTTTGTTCTTGAATCTTAGAATGTTCTCAATTAAAGGCGACAAAAAAATCAAACTCAAGTTGGCTTAAAGAATAACTAAAAACTCCAGGGTAATTTAGGCATAGTTCCATCAGAGCGCTGGGTCCATTTTCCTGTGGTTTGCTCTGCTCCTCTTTAATCAGTGTTAACTTTCTCCCCAGCCTGACTTCCCTCCTGGTTGTTGGATGCCTGCCAGCAGTAATTAGTGCTGCATGATGCCTCATTCAGCAAGAAAGGCAGGTTGCTACCCATTAACTGCTGAAAAAAGGAAAACACTGAGATTTACATCAATTGGCCACCCCTGAACCAATCCGTAAAACCAGGGGAATGCCACACACTGATAAGCTTAGGCCTGTGTTAATTAAACCAATTACAGTGCAAAGGAAGATGGAATTTTCCTGATTGGCCTTAGCCGAGCATAGCTTACTGTTGAAGCTGGGGTGAGGTCAAGTTCACTCAAACCTTATCGCTGGTATCAACAGAGAAGGTGTAATGGATGTTGAGGAAAAAACCATAGCTTCTGTCCACCATGCATGTATACCTGTATGTAACACTCAGGATGGGTCTGACAAATGTTCAAGTTCAGTGAAATATTAGAAATTAGTCTTATGGCCATTTCCTTCATTTTGAAAATGTTCTTCTATTAACATAGTCTTACCTTGAATTCATTTTCTTTTTTAAAGCAGGTGTAATTGTTAGAGTTTGTGGTTACTGAAGTACCTAAAGTGGTTTTTTAAATTTCATTTTATACTGCTTTTGAGTTTAACTTTTAAAACCTCCCCGCCAAGTGCATTCTTATGGAACTGTTTGCAAAAACCAAAACAGTACATTAATTCGGCTCCTCAATCTCCGTGTTCTGTTTTTTTTATGCATTGTTCTATCTACTAAAACACTTCAAATTATGTTTCTAAAAGTCAATACGTTAGTTTACCCTTTGCAGACAGATGCCTCTTCACCCAGATTGGATTTTTATATGTGACCAAGACAAAGCCAAAGACAAAGCCATGAGACATACTGTGGGAAACCTTCCTGCAAGCTAATATCATATTAATAATTACATGCGGTTGTTCAACCGGCTTTACACATCTGCTTACATTCACTATTATTCAGTCATATTTCCACCCTTGTTCCCAAGGACATATGAGTGATTTCATCAAAATCCCTGCCTAAACACAAATATTGCAACCTCCCAACCCTCTAAAATCTCCCAGGCTACTCAACCTACAGAAAATTAAATAAGGCTAATTTGGCAGGAATGCTTTTAGTGCACTCAAACTGGATCTTAGAGGTTGTCTCATTATTTTCTAAGTGATTTCAATTCCTTGTTAAAGTAATCCATTCTAAAATGCTATTAAAGATCAACGTTGCTGATCTAATAGTTTCCAGAATCTACCTTTTAACCCTTTGAGAGAATTGGTGTGATATTTGCTTAGATCGCATCTTCTAGCAGTACTCCCCTTCTCTGTGATTTCTGTGGATTACTGCCAATCATTCTGTGATTACAACTGTAAGTCCTTTCGACACCTTGGAATGTAATTTGTCTATGACTGCAAACTTGAATTCATTTAGAATGTCTGGGTGGCTTCCTATCATCTCTTCTTTTTACTTTTTCTGGGACTTCAATTCATTGTTAATGGTGTTTTTCTAGCTGTTCTATTTTGATGATAACTTCTTCATAGTGGCAAGGACAGATTCAAAATAGGAGCAGAGTAATTCTGCCTCCTGCCTGTATTTGTTAGCCTCTCATCATCTTTTCTAAACAGTGGGCTGATGCACTATATTCTCATAATTATGATTCCTAGCTTTTGCAGAAGTACTTTTCTCTGCTGGGAACACTCTTCCTGTTCTGAAACTTTCTGTAATCTAACTTTTGCTCATCCATCAAGTCTTAGCAATAATCTCTCTGAGGAGTCTTCATTTATCCTGCGAAGCTAAATTAGATGCCCCTCCTATATCTTATGATACCTTATGATAGCCCTTTGGTGGAATTTAGTAGATTATATTGTAAATGTCCGTTAGCATGTCTGCATTCCCCATTTGACTATCAGTGGTTAGAGGATAAGGATCTTTCCTTGTTCTCTTCTGCAGAGATTTTCATAGTTCTTGGCACCAAATAGGTGCTTAATATTAATAATTGTTCAATGAATTAAACCTGTAAAGGTCCTTTTGGTTAACTTTGAGCATTGTTTTCTTTCTTATATTTTCTTCCAAGATTTATTTTACTGCCACATCAAGTTTCCTTGGTGGTTGAAAGTAAATCTAGAATAATGATTTCTTCATACTTTTTTTTTTTCAGTAAAAATCTTCCTTGTCGAACCTCTGAGGTATTAATTTTTGGGGAAGCTTAAAATAATGTTTCTTATGATAAAAGGAAAAAATCTTCTACTATACATATATACTGGATCAGAAAATATGCTCATCAGAAATGTTTGAGGTGCATGGAGTATACTCCACAAATGGAAACATGAAAATAAAAGTGAGATGACTATTTTTGTAGAGACAAAATGAAACAAATTTCACTAGAATTTTTTTAAACACAAGATTTTAAAAAAACACATTTCAGTCATTAAGACAACTTTAATATTTTGAAAGCTTGAAAACTATATTTTTTATCAAATGCACTCAGTAAATTTTACAATCTTTAGTTTTTCTATTTACCCATGGTATTTCCTACTGATACATTTTTCTTACAACAATAAATCTCCTTAACTTATTCAATTTGTCACCTGTTCAGTAGTTTATAAAATTTTAAAGCTAATGGTATAACAAACTCAAATGATGATATTTTATATTTATAAGTGCATCCGGGGATGAATAAGTAATGAAAACACAGTCTGCTGCTACTAAAAGTGAGGGACTTAAGAAGTTTAGCTACAAAGAGATGGAATGCACTTGATTTCCTCTGATTTTAAAATTCAAGTAGATTTGATCCAGGTTGGTTCTTAAGGAGGTCATCAATAGAAAACACCCTATTACTTTTTCTTCTGTTCAGCACTGGATATGCAGTAATTTTCCTAATCTACTGCCACAGATTGAATGCATCGTTGCATTTTTTTCAAACTATCTTGTGTTATATGACATGTTTGATGACAGACTTTCCTGACCACAGTTTTCAATTAAACTTATCAGTCAAAGGTCATTTACAAGCAACTGTGATTGACTGAGAGTCAGAAGTATTATTTTCATTGATTAGGGTTTAAAGAGAAAAATTGTTGCCAATTGGTACAGTTGAAAGATATAGTACAAATAATCTGTAGCTACTTTTTAGCCAAGTGTAATGACAGATTTCAAGAGAGAGGACTTAAAAATGTCATCTTTAAATTTTTTTAAAGAAAAATATTATTAATATAATTATAATTCATTTGTATGCAGCCACCAAGAGAGAGAATATCTGCAATGTAATACAATATAATGTATTGTATAATGTAATACAATATAGAGTGTAACACTAACACATAATATTTTATACCTCATGTTAATTGTCATTGTAAATACGAACTGTCATGTTTATATAAATTATAATATTTCCATAAGAAATATAAGTCATCATATTATCTACTTTCAGTAGAATTAAGAAGATTGGCCTTCTAGTGCTGAGACACCATTAATTATCTGTACAATCTATGAGAAATCATTTAAACTCTCTAGGTCTCAATGTTTTCTATGCATAAGTAGTAACCCCTCAAAAAATTAAAATCTACAAAGTTTGTAGTAGGGGGGCCTTGAGTTACTTTTAATATTTCATAAAGCTCTTGGGAACTTTGTACTTAACTACAATAAAAACTCATAAGCTCCACATAGTTTCTGATACATAAAAACTAGTTAATAATAAAGTATGAAATGAATAAGAGAATAAATGAAAAAGTAAATGAAAGAATGAATGAATGAATGAATAAAAATTAGAACAGTAGGTTGATCTGCACTTTATATCAACTCTGTTGTCTACTGGTTATTTCTTGCTGATCTGATTTCCAATTATATGTGCTTGTGACTATTTAAAAATGAATTAGTCCAGGCACAGTGGCTCATGCCTGTAATTCCAGCACTTTGGGAGACCGAGGCAGGCAGATCATGAGGTCAGGAGTTCGAGACCATCCTGACCAGCATGGTGAAACCCCATTTCTACTAAAAATACAAAAATTAGCTGGGCATGGTGGTGCACGCCTGTAATCCCAGCTAGTCCGGAGACTGAGGCAAGAGAATCACTTCAACCCGGGAGGCAGAGGTTGCAGTGAGCTGAGATCACACCATTGCACTCCAGCCTGGGCAATAGAGGCAGACTCCATCTCAAAAAAAAAAAAAAAGAAAAAAGAAAAAAAAAGTGAATTAACAATTACTTTTTCAATGTAATTTGAGGAGTAAAATATTTTTTAATACCCAGAGCAAGTCATGGGTATTAATAAAAATGATGCTTGCTAGCATTAATATTAGAAAATAATAGAAAAATGGAAATACATCTACCTATACAAGTACCATAAATCCTTTTCAGTGACTCTATTGCAGCTATGAGGAATTCTAAAGCTTTTTCACAGGGATTGTTGTCTATTACTTTCATCATTTTATGTGATATGATCCTACCTGTGACAATCCCTTATCCTAAAATCTCAACTAACAAATTGAAGAAATCAATAAAAATTATCTTACTTATAAGATATTAGTGGTTATCACTAATTTCATATAAACTCAATTTTATTTCATTTAAAGCTATATTTGCCTCCATAACTCCTCTTTTCACAATGATTGATTCCGAGGGTGAGGTATATTTTATTCCATCTAGAACGAGAGGTCCTGATCAGAGGGTAAAAGGTAGAAAAGTTTTTTCCCTTTATCCTTAAGGAAAATTGTTAGTCCTTCTCCTTATGTAAGGAAGAAAGTAAAATATTTTTTTTCATTTTTTGAAGTAACGTATGACAACTTAGTGCTATTTCCTCTAACTTTTCCCTGAATATGTTCCTGATTCCATAACAACCGTACTCATTCTTTATTTTGCTTATAGCTGAGTTGATACTAGGCTCCAATATTGTTGTTATTATTGATTTCACTGGCATTCTCTGTTATATAGTCTTCACTAAAAAGCCATGAATACAATTTATTGTGGTAAATTATACAAATACTTGTTCACAAAGCGAGAGTATTAACTGACATTTGTCTTTCCTGTTAAGTCTGTTCATTGATGTTGATCAATTCATTATTGTTTAATACATATAATTTTTATCAAATTTAAATGGACTAGACTGAATTATGCTGCTTTCTGGATAATAGAATTTTAAGTCAGCAGCATGTTTAATATGCATGGACAACCCCCCATAACCTCTCCAATAAATAAATAAATAAACAAACAAACAAACAAATAAATGTATGGCATATCAGGAAACATGGTCTTTACTTGACACTGGGGGAAACACACATGTGTTTTCCCAATGTCATGTGTTAAACATATTTAAATATGTGTTGATACATTTAATGTGTGTTTTAATACATACATTTAAAAAATATAAAATCAATTAAATAAATATGTAAAATTAAATATAAAAATATATTTTATATTAAAATAAAATATAAAATTTATATTAAAATAAATATAAAAATATATTTTAACTTAAAAATATATTGTAACTTAAATATATTTTTATATTTAAGTAAAAATATATTTCTTAAATTTAATAACTATATCCTTGCTCTCTCAGGACAGAACTTTTCAAGGTCAAAAATTAAATTAAAATTCTTATTTAGAAAGTTAAGAAAGCACTGAAATTATTTCGACTTTAGACTATGTAGTTAATCTTATCGAATCTTAGTTTCCATTTTTTTTTTCTGTCCCACAGGACAGAAGGCACAGAAGACAAAGCCTATGGCTCACCAAAGTGATAAATCCAGTAGCGCATACCTACATAATGCTGGGATCCTAAATGACTCTACCCTGTGTATGGTGTGTACCAGTAATAAATCCACCCCACAGCACAAGAGAGGGAAATTCTTTGCTATGATTTTTGTGCTAAATTCAGACAAAGTATCTCCCCTGAACATTCATAACCAAAGAACACTCCTCATGCTGATTTGTACACTGAATCCACATTGACCTAGTGGCCTAACAAACCTAAATCCAACAATCTGTTTAAAGTGGTCCCAAATAGTAGTTACTTCAGAGATCTCAGATAAACCTAGGCAAATTATCTTTGAGGGAATACACATTCTATCCAGGCTTCAAAGGATTTCTACAGATAAAGTTCCAAGAAACATGAATTTACAGTCAAAATTTATAAGATAATACCCACAATAAATCACTTGATAGAGTCCAACAGAAACAACAGATGACAGAAAGACTTTAGATGTAGAATATAAAATTATATTTCAATCTGTCTAAATAAATAAAAGATATATATATAAAGCATTATAAAAGAGTAAAACTATACAAATGCAAATCATATTGCAAAAGAGCCAAATGGAACTTCTGGAAATAAGATTATGTGTAACTGAAGTAAAAAATTTCAATGGATGAGTAAACAGCAAATTTGATACAGTTAATGGGAAATGTAATGACTAGACTCAGTGCTGAAGAAATTGTCTATAATGTAACATGTAAACACAAGTAGTTGGAAAATATTAAAGAGAAGTTAAAATACATACAGAATAACATAAAATTTTTAATACACATGTCATTGGAGTACTACATTTAAAAAAAAAAAAAAACTAGAAAAAAATGAGGAAGGGACAATATGAGAGATGGTATCTTAGGTCAGTTTTCCCAGAAGCAGACCCTGAGGCAAGGATTCATGGACAAGTGATTTAGAAACGCAATACTCCCTGTAGAGATCAGCAAGGTAGCATGGAAAGCAGAAGGGGGAAGAGAAGAAAGTCATGCCAGGGTGCAGTCTCAGATAAAGTCCTGCAAATACAGCTTTGGCCTGATCTTGCCGGAGAATGTTGGAGTAAGTTAACCTCAGAGTTGCCCAAGGCAAAGAAGGTAACTTGCTGTACTCCTACTTCTGTGGGACATTGGTCAAGGGCTGTGTGGAAGGAGTAAATTCTCAGGGACTTCTAGATTTCTGTATATGTGGATTAAAAACCCCCATAGAAAAAGTACCATTCTCAAAGAAGAGGCATAGTTGCAATTTGCCAGATAATAGTCAAAATTGCTTTCATACTTGTTTATTTTTTTCTTGGTTCCCTTTAATTTTGGCCTGGTCTCATAAACTCTTCAATGTGCATAAAAATAATGTCAAAAATTTGCCCTTCTTATAGTTGTCCTCAGTGAGACACTTGTTGTATTAAACTAATCCAACAATATTTTTAATTGAAAGTTTTACCTTTATTCTCAACTTTTATCATCTTTTCTTTGAAGTTTTCTTTTGTATTTTATATTTTGTTGGATAATGTTTCTTCTAATCCATTCTGAAGGTCTCTGTCTTTTGTCAGTGAGTTTAATACATTTACATTTATTGTAATTGTTACTAGGATTCATTTATTTCTTTATATTTGATTTTTTATTGCATATTTTCTGTGTATTAGTTTAATTTGCCTGTCATACTTTCCATTCAATTTCATACAAGAAGTTTCTTCTTCTCGTATGAAAGTTAATGTTGTATTTTATTTATTGTTTGGTTACCAGTAAAACAATGATGCATATCTACATTAATTTTTTCTTCTACCCATTTCTTAGCTTATCCATATTCATATCTTCTCTCTCTACCTTGTCTCTTATTTTCTTCTCCCTTGCCACCACGTTTGCATTTTCTACATTTTTAACTCTGAGCTTTATGGATCTTTTATAGATTTTAAGTTTGTTTTAGCAACAAGAAAATTTACTATGCTGTTTTCTTACCTGTATATTTCATATATTTCATAGATTTTTCTAGTTTCAACTTACTATTTTGCTACCTGAAAGTATTTTCAAGAGTCATTTGCTTGATGAAACTTGAGTTCTTGTTTTCCTGAGAATATGTAATTATGTTTCCTTTGCATGTAAATTATTGTTAGTTACATATAGTATTTCAGATTTAAAGTCCCTTTGTTATGACTCTTGAAAAACGTTGTTCTCCTCTATTATGCATATAACATTAACAATAATTATATTAGTGTTTCATTTCTTGTTATTTTTGTTTTTTAAATAAATACTCTGTTTTCTATTAGAAAACTTTAATAATCTCTTCTTTATGTTTGATGTTTTAAAATTCACTTTAATATGTTTGTATTGTCTTTTTAAATCATGTGAAAGGTTTGGCACTGTGAAACTTTGCAATATTTTTCTTTTTTAATTCTTACAAATATTAGGCCACTCTTTCTCCAAATATTTCCTCTCTTTCATTTTTTAAAAATATAGTTTCCTGGAATACCTTCAATGTGAAGGTTAACAATTATATATCCATCCTTCCTCTCTCCAAAATTTTGTTTTTTCTTCTTTTTCTTTATCTTTTTCTTGTGACATTTAAAAAATTTCCTCTACTTAATCTTCAAAGTTATTAGTTTGTTACCCAATTGTATTTATTCTATTTTAATTTACCTATTGAGTTATTTTTTATTTTTTCAAAATGTATTATTCTACTCATCTTTTCCATTATTCTCCCTTATCTCTTTGAGAATATTTAATTCTTACTTATATTTATTTTAACATTTTATTTATATTTATTTTGAGTTTCTGTTCCACAATTCTCTTCTATCTGGTATAAGGTGAAGGAATCCACCTCAAGTCTGAGATTTTCTAACTTTGCAATCTGTACAGAATCACTCTCTGTGCTCACTGCCCCACAGTAAGCAATTATGTACTTTGAGGACTCTTGTTTTCTCCTCACTAGTCCTGATAGGGAAGATGGAGAAGAGAAAATCAGAATCCACCCAAAATATCTGGGAACCTGTTGTTATTCACCCTCCAACCCAGCTAGGTTGGAGTGCCTTTCTGCTGTTTCCTCCATTTGTCACTGATGCTGGGTTGGTGCTACTGTTTTTTCTCCTTACTGTAGGAAATAATTCTCGCAGGGCAATGTGAAGAACGGCAGAAATTACAACTTAAAAGTTCTTTTCCAAGTTCCTGCTGTTTTTGCAGCCAGTTCTTTTCATATCTAAATTGTTCTTCCTTCCATATATATGATGAATCAGCTTGTGTCTTTCTAAGAGTACTCAGTATTTCATTTTTTGTTTCTCAGAATCAACCAGACTAGCATTTGTTTCACATCTACAGAATTATATTAAGGGGAAGAAGACAGCCATACTCATTAATTTGTCAAAAACTGGGAGAGGTTTTTCCAGTGATCTTATTTTACCCTTATAACTAAGATCAACATTATTGCTGTATCTCCTTCAAGACTCAGTTTTTGGCTATTACGAATTAATTCATTTCCACAGGATTCTATGTACCTAGCTCAGTGTCATGGGCAAAAGTGTTTTCAATAATTCCTAACTTCTATATTTCTGGGGAGGCCAATTTTCATAAATCTATTACTAAATTTGCACACATATTTTACTCTGTGGAATAATACACTTGTCTAAATTGCAAATAAAAAAATCCTAAATATAATGCTAAAATTCTTCAATATGACTTATATAGGCAGTAAGTAGATAAGAAATAATTAAGGGGCCCAACTAATGCTTTCTATGAATAAATAGGGATAGATAAGTAAGACACAGCATCATGAGACTTTCTGTGCCTTTATTTCATACAAATGTTGTGAAGTAGTTCACAGCTTCACAACGTCTTCTTTGAGGATGAAGGACAATCTTAACACTCACCTTGAACTGCTTTCTAGTTTTCCAGAGTCCATTTGTAAATTATACTTAAATAGGTTTAAAATTACTTCTCTCTCTCAGGTAAGTTTTTAATTCCACATGAAGTATTCCAAAAGAAAAAAAATTATGTCAGATTTATTTTTATATGTTTACAAATATGCATTTTTAAATCCACTTTGAGACTTTTACCTTGATCATTCCAATATGACAGCACAGTTGTATCTATTGACATTGACTGGTATTAAATTGAAGAACTGCTGTAAATTACCTCTCCATTCAGATCTATATGTCTAAAATGTAATTTTCTTCCTCTTACATGCAACACTATTTCTTTTAACTCCTCAATATTTTGAAACCATCTATTTGTCCACGAAAAAAAAAAAAAATTCTTCCAGGATTAATAGAACAAACAATTTGGTGAAGACTTCTGTGAAATTACCACAAGAGATAGATCATAATAGGTGGTTGTAACAAGCAAAAAAGCTCCTAAGAAAAGGCTTTCAGAGGACTCTAAGGGTCAAAATCTCCCATGGGCTTTGCAAACAGCAGCCCCAGTTGCAAATCCAGGAACTGGCTTTAGGTACATGAAGCTCAGCTCAGGTTGTCGCTGGCACAAAGGGTCAGCTCTAAATGAAACTCTAAATAAGTGAATTCCATTTCAGTGTACTGCAGGGGCCTTTGAAAACAGTATGCTGAGAATAGATAGGGCTCAAGGAAAGTATCTCCAATTGAACTTTTAATGAACTCTCGTAGGCGCCAAGAAGGCGAGCAGATAAGGAAGAGCATAGAGACAAGGAACTGAGTAGAAGGTTACATCTGGGTAAAGAAAGTTTGTTTTGCATTGTGTTCTTTCTGCTGACATGGGATTTATGGAGTATAAATAAAGTGAGGCGGAGGCTCTGAGCGCGGCCGCCATGTTCTCTGTTTGTCTTTGTCTTTTGTGTCTGTTCATTCTCCACCACCCCCGGCACGGACCCCAATAAGTGGCACAGCGAGCAGGGTTCGCACGGGTGAGTAGGGGAGAACAAGAAGGGGAACCCCCTAGGAGCGGGTAAAGCCCGGATATTGTTAAGGGGAACCTTCTTAAGCTTTCATTATGGGGAATTCCAGTTCCTTGGCCTCAGAATATTTAAGATTATTACAAAGGCTTTTACTTTCAATTGGAGTTGATACCAAAGAGAGAACTTTATGGAAATTGTTTGCTCATGTGGAACAACATTGCTATTGGTTTCAATATCAAACTAAAGTGCAATTAAATAAACGAGATTGGCAACAGGTTGTTAAGACCCTTCGTCAAGCGCATTAGCGCGGCGATGTAATGTCGGCACCTTTGTGGGCCCTCTGTGCCTCTATTACTCAGGCTTTGGAGCTCTTAGAGACAGACTCTGAAAAAGAGGAGGGTGGAGATGAGGAATCTTTGAAGTCTCCAATAGCCATTTCCCCTCCTTTAGATAATCCTGTAACTGATGGGGAAGGTCCTTTGCATAATGATGTGTCTCAGGAAAGGGAATCAGAAATTCAAAAGGAGCTTCAGCCCGTTGTTCAATTGTTACAACAAATTTTACAATTGCAGTTATCTCCCCCTCACCCTTCTCCTCCACCCACTCCTGTTTTTACTTTTCCCGTGGCTCATCCACCCCCGTCAGCACCCAAGGCGGAGGAGGAGGATAGTTTTCCACCACCACCACCGCCGGTGGAAATGCTGCCTCGTTCAGGCATGGTTTTTACTGTCCCTGCTTCTACTGCTAAAGCTGTAATTGAGGTTTGGATTCTCAAGAGGATGAGGATCCTCTACAATTGTTCCCCATTACTAGGCAACCTTTTGGCCCTAATGATCAATTTCCTCAAGGAGGTGTGAATGTGCAGTATAATGTCCTTCAATTTAAGTTCCTTAAAGAAATG